TGAGTTTTCCAAAAGTGAAACCTGAATACAAATAGATGGAAACACTGTCCACTGTGTGATGTGGGATTGTTTGCCCATCAGCTCCTTGTTCTCCCACAACTGACATCCAAGTAAAATACAAATGCTTTTAAAACTTGATTTGGATCAACTCAGCAACTAATTTTGGAAGAAAGTTTTTTGGAGAATAGTTTGAAATGTCTTCAGAAATATAAGAGTTACGTGATAGTACATTATTTTATTCATCCTGAGCTGGAATGATTTATGAAGACATATAGCGAAATTGAATTTGTTGATCGGTTCTGGTGTGTGGTTTTCGAAATATTCCAAAAAGTTTCTCATTTGCTTCACTGCTGAGCGGGAACAGCTTTTACTTTTTCTTGGTTGTCGGAAGATATTTACCTCTTGACAACGAAAGGGATTCCTGGAGCTGGAGAAGTGAAGCTAATTGATGATGGAATCAAACTGATCGAACGGCCATTGATAATACCAAAGTCTCAGGGCATTGCCACTTGCACAGAAAACGTTGGCCGCGGGTTTATCATTGGAAGATGGAGTCATATTGGTACCTTCTGCACACAACTGATTTTCTTCAGAAAATACATCCGACGCGGTCGATATAAAGGATGAACAACATCAGGAGCATTTGATAGCAGTGAGTTTCAAACCCACGTCCCCAAACGGACTGGAAATTAAATCGAGCGCCTTAGACCGCTCGGCCACTCTATTCTATGTTTGCTCTTGTCTGCAAAACACATGTAACAACATAGCTCACGACTTTTGTTAAAATTTTGTTTGCTGCTATTTAACGATTTTATTACAAATTTCAAGCATTATTAGATTGATGTTCGACAAATCTATTTGGGGATTTATTTTAATTGCTTGCCATACTGCACCCCTTTTCAAATAAATTGTCAGAAATTCAACTTTTTTGATAGGATCAGGTGCCGTTGGTTTGAAAATCTTGCAAAGCACCAGTCGCTTCCTTCCCGGTTGCAAGACCTTGAGCTCTTCTTATTTCCTATTTCAGCGATAATAAACCATTTCTCTACGTGCATTAGGAAGATTCAATTTAATTTCAGGTGTTACAGCGCATCGCTGCATTTCAGCAATTTTGCAAAGATCTGAAAGTTGGGTGGAATAATATTTCAGTTTTATTCATTTCTCCACAATAGTAGGTTCACAGAAATTTCCGTAGTGTAGTGGTTATCACGTTCGCCTCACACGCGAAAGGTTCGAAACCTGGCGGGAACATTTATTTAATTTTTATTATAAAAAAATCATTCTTGAATATCAACGAACACACAATCTTCGAACTGAAGTGGTTGGAGCCGCATAACATACCGACACTATGAAAATAATGGGCATTTTGTAATGCTGGAAACCAACATAGATTTCAGCAAAGCAAAAAACATAAAACGTTGTTTCAGCTGATGAACTGAATTCCGTGGTTGCTGCGGTTTTGAAGCACATGATGTCGCATAAACACGTGTAGAGTCGGTTTCCGTTTGATCTGAACTTCTCGAGTCATTGCAGAATATAATCTATTAAAGTGAAATGAGTAACATGATGACGCCATCTATTGCTCTCAACTTATTCCCCTGTTAGCAAAAATATCACTTTAGAGTGCGGCGATCACAGTCAGATGTGGATAATTTGTTTTCATTTAACAACAATAAATTGCATTTCACACAAGACAATACAGAGTGGAAGACTTAGACCTGAAACTCCAAGGAAGGGTATATTAGAGATGCGGCGAGGAGACCTGGGTGATTAGGTTTCACTGTGGAGATTGGAGACACATAGAGAGTGATTGAGTTGGAGAAACAGAGGTAGATTTCCAGAGCCTGGTGTGTTGTGACTTAATGTCAACACCTTTAGTGACATTTAAAGGTCGGGCACAAACAGAAGGTCAGTGTGAGCTGAGGGCAGGAGGTGGGCAGAGACCCACAAGGAAGCTCAGCGTTAGCTCAGTGCATGATGTCACCGGGATCTCATTTAACTTGGAAAGAAGAAACTGAGATAGTTTTGTATAAAAATTACGATATTAATCTCATACTGCATGTCATCTTTTTGAAATAGTAGAAAAGTAAATTAACATTTGTACCTTCTCATTTCCACCCCCACACCATAACCTCCCCTCCCCCCCACCACACCATTACACCCCAAAAAAATATACGGAAAGCCCAAACAGGGACTTGAACCCTGGACCCTCAGATTGCCGTCAAATTGATCACTTTAAAAGTCTGATGCTCTACCGACTGAGCTATCCGGGCTCCGTGATCTCTGTAAATAAGCGTTTTCTCTATATAAAAGGCCTGGTCTCTGTATAACAGACCTGGTCTCCGTATAACAGTCCTGGTCTCTCTATATATTAGACGCCTCGTCTCTGTGTAACAGGCCTGGTCGCTGCATAACAGACCTGGTCTCTGTATAAAAGACCGGGTCTCTGTACAATTGTCTTGATGTCTCTGTAACATTGTCGGTCTCTGTATAGCAGGGCTGGTCTCTGTATAACAAGCCTGGTCGCTCCATAACTGGCCTCGTCTCTTTATAACATGCCTCACCTCTGAATAACTGGGGGTAATATTCACGATTGATTAGATGAGGGTATAGGAGGTAAACAAAGTGAGTGGTGAATAGTGAAGATGCTTTTGAACAAGGCTAAAGTGCGTAGCAGCTTCATTCGCTATAAAAACTAATAATTTGGTTGTGACTGGCCACAACTTTTTGTTGTTGGTTAACTGTGGCTCCTCCACTTTTGCACAGTTAGGAATAACTGCTTTTAAAAACACGATGAAATTTTGAGAGCTTATATTGGCCTTGAAATAATATGATAACGTGTTAAATCAGATGTAACGGGCTTCTATTTGATGGATGATATTTGTTGCATCGACTGGAGCTGGGTTTGGAAGCCATCCGGGGAGGGGAGTGGAATGGGAAGTCTGAGGAATGAGACTGAGAAGTCGTTTCTAGAATGCAGAATTACTGAAGAATATATAGGCTGTTCCTGTGCCTATGTGTCTCTGTGACACGATAACTTTGTGACTTCCGTTATTCCTATTCAACTTCAGAAAACATAACTTCGATATAAGTGCACAGTAACCAACACCGATTCTAAGCCGTTTGGACAATTGCTTTTCAGAGTCCAGTAATACCAATCGCTCAGAACGCAAACATCCAAAAATATCTGCAATAGAAGTGTGAAATTGGGTGAAAAGATTCCGTATGTCCAGGACTGTGATTGTGAGAAGGACAGGAAGTAAAAATAAAGGAACGTGTCTCCACGAGCATCCAAAATCGACCAAAAACCAATGGCAAACATTATCTTTCCACCATGTCCTTCGATTCACACCAACATTTTTTTTAGTTTAAATTTCAGTGGATCAAGTTTGCGTGGGTCTCGGCCGACTGCAGTCAGAGAGAATTGTGGAAACGGGCAACGGTGCCTCGGTGGGGAACAGCGAAGCATGTCATGACTCGTATTTTCGGTATGAAGGAGTTTTGAATGTCGAACGGGATACATGTTGACTACGTAAGATGTAGAGTGCATCCACGAAATTTAATGCTGTCGGTGCCCGAGTTGTGGAGGCGCTGAGGGGAGTCAAGCACCTGGGCCTCGGTTTTGTTGACATTCAATTGGAGAAAGTTATCTCTCACCCGGCACTTGATGTCTGAAAGGCAATCTTCGAGAACAGCAGTGGACCTGCAGTCTCACCTCCTCTCCCTTCAACTGAAACTTCGTGGTTCTGTTCTTGGTTAAAATCCTAACTTCAGACGATCTCCTCTTTGTCTCCACAAATGGTTTCTTCTTCAGCCCCCGCAAAGCATCATGCAGCATTTCTTGGATATTTGCCCTTAGTCCTCTCGTATTCGAATATATGTTCTGGTTGTTTAGAGCGGAGTGCAAAGTTTTTTGCAGACGGATATGTTAAATCGGATGCCGCTGAAAATTGCGTCCTCACTTTTCTATTGGCCCATCAGCGGCGAGAGCAGCCCTTCTTGTGTTGTCGAAGTTCCCCACAATCGGATACTCCATCCCACGGTCCCTGCTCCTCGCTTCCTTCCTTGACACCTTCAAAGCCGGTCTCAATACCCATCTGTTCGGACGGGCCTTTGGTCTCTCTCCCAGCTCTCTGCCTTTCCTAAGCTCTGCACCATGACTCCCCCACCCCAACACCACCCCTCCCCCCAACCCTCACCATCAGACCCACCCCTAAAGGATCCCTCCCCTCTCACCCCCAACCCTCCACCCGACTGGGGCCCCGACACCTGACTGTTCAGCGCTGTGGGACGTCCTCCCGTCGTGAAAGTCGACTTTGTGGAGTCCTGTAGCTCAGTGGTTAGAGCACTCGCTTTGCAAGTGAGAGACCTGAGTTCAATTCCAGGCAGAGGGCGAAACCTTGGGCAAGTTTCCTTACTCCACACAGAGCCTAATAATAATCCCTCCAAAAAAACAACAATAAATTGGTCATTTTCAATCTACGACTGTTTGTGGGACATTGCTGTGCGCAATTGGCTGCCGCGTTCGCCCACAAATATACAGTCAATTCACTTTACAGTATATTCTGTGAAGCGCTATGGGACGTCCTCCCGACGTGAAAAGCGCTATATCAAATGCAAGGATTATTATTATTATAAATATAATTTTGTTGTTGTTGTAGTTGTTGTTGTGTAATAGGGCCACTCAGAGCAGAGGGCAGAATAAGAAAAGAATGAACCGAGTAGAGGTAATAAAACGGTTGGAGGCGCTCAAGGCGGACACATAGCGGAGTAGCTGTGCCGTACATCATGGCGGTTCGCGGTGGGCTACGCAGCCGTACAACATGGCGGTTCGCGGTGGGCTGCGGTGGCGTACAACATGGCGGTTCGCGGTGGGTTGGAGTGCCGTACAACATGGCGGTTCGCGGTGGGTTGGGGTGCCGTACAACATGGCGGTTCGTACATGCACAAGTACACACACCTTTACGAGGACGGATAGACGTGCTGACGTCAGCTCGAGCGCAGCCTGAAAGCGTCATGACGTCATGGCCCTGGAGACCGTCGGGCGCAGCTCAAGAGAAACAGAGACAAAGAACAATGGCGGCGGCAGCGGTTACAGAGAGAGAGAGTGAGAGAGAGAAGAGAGAGAGGAACATTGCTGCCGCAGGTCAGTCGCTGTCTCTCTCTCTCTCTCTCTCACACTCACTCTCTCTCTGTCACCATCACCGCCACAGACCCCGGAAACTACAGCTCCCGTCAGACCGCGCGGCTCAGAGCCCTCGGGGGAGGGGTCAGTGACACAGTGACACAGAGACATCTCCACACAGTCCCTCACACTCACAGTGTCTCTCTCTCACACACACACAGTCTCTCTCACACACACACTCTCTCTCCCTCACACACAGTCTCTCTCTCACACACACACACAGTCTCTCTCTCTCACACACACAGTCTCTCTCTCACACACACACAGTCTCTCTCTCTCACACACACTGTTTCTGTCTCACTCACACACTGTCCCTCTCTCTCTCTTTCTCTCTCGCTCTCTCACACACACAGATACACACGGTCTATCTTTCTCACACACACACATACAGTCTCTTCTCATAAATACACACAGTCTCTCTCTCTCACAAACACAATTTCTGTCTCACTCACACGCTGTCTCTCTCTCTCACTCTCACACACACACACACACACACACAGTCTCTCTCTCTCTCTGTCTCTCTCACACACACACACACACACATTCTCTCTCTCACTCTCTCACACACACAGTCTCTCTCTCATACATACACTCAGTCTCTCTCTCTCTCTCACACACACAGTTTCTGTTTCACTCACACACTGTCCCTCTCTCTCTCTCACACACACAGGTAGACACAGTCTATCTCTCTTTACCACACATACGTGCAGTCTCTCTCTCTCACACTTACACACAGTATCTCACACAGACACACACAGTCTCTCTCTCTCACACAAACAAAGATTCTCTCTCTCACACATTTTCTCTCTCTCACACACACAAACACAGTCTCTCTCACATACACACAGTCTCTCTCTCACTCTCTCTCACACACACACACATTCTCTCTCTCACTCTCTCTCACACACACAGTCTCTCTCTCTGTCACACACAGAGTCTGTATCTCTCACACACACACAGTCTCTCTCTCACTCTCACAGACACACACACACACAGTTTCTCTCAAACAGACGCACACAATCTCTCTCTCACTCTCACAGACACACACACACACAGTCTCTATCTCTCTCTCACACACACAGTTTCTGTCTCACTAACACACTGTTCCTCTCTCTCTCGCTCGCTCTCACACACACACAGATACACACAGTCTATCTCTCTCTCACACACACAAACAGTCTCTTTCTCACTCCCTCTCACACACACACATTCTCTCTCCCACTCTCTCTCACACACACAGTCTCTCTCTCACATACACAAACACAGTCTCTCTCTCTCTCACACACACACATTCTCTCTCTCTCATACACAGAGTCTCTCAATCTCACACACACAGTCTCTCTCTCTCACACACAAACGGTCTCTCTCTCTCCCACACACACATTCTCTCTCTCTCACACACACAAACACAGTCTCTCTCTCATTCACATACACAGTCTCTGTCTCTTACTCAGAGTCTCTATCTCTCTCACACACATACATTCTCTCTCTCTCACACACACAATGTCTCTCTCCCCCACACACACAGTCTCTCTCTGTCACACACAGAGTCTGTATCTCTCACACACACAGTCTCTCTCTCACTCTCACAGACACACACACACACAGTCTCTCTCACACAGACGCACACAATCTCTCTCTCACTCTCACAGACACAGTTTCTGTCTCACTCACACACTCTCTCTCTCTCTCGCTCGCTCCCACACACAAACAGATACACACAGTCTATCTCTCTCTCACACACACACAGTCTCTCTCTCACTCCCTCTCACACACACACATTCTCTCTCCCACTCTCTCTCACACACACAGTCTCTCTCTCATACACACAAACACAGTCTCTCTGTCACACACATGCACAGTCTCTATCTCTCTCAAACATTCTCTCTCTCTCACACACACACAGACTCTCTCTCTCATACACAGAGTCTCTCAATCTCACACACACACAGTCTCTCTCTCCACACAAACGGTCTCTCTCTCTCCCACACACACACAGTCTCTCTCTCTCTCACTCTCTCTCATACGCAATCTCTCTCTCACTCTCATGCACACAGTTTCTGTCTCACTCACAACTGCCGCTCTTTATCTCTCTCTTTCTCTCTTGCTCTCTCACACACACAGTCTATCTCTCACAGATATACACACAATCTCTCTCTCACACTTACACACAGTATCTCAAACACACACACAGTCTCTCTCACACAAACAAAGAGTCTCTCTCTCACACACATTTCTCTCTCTCACACACACAAACACAGTCTCTCTCTCACACACTTACACAGTCTCTGTCTTTCACACACACAGTCTCTCTCTCTCATACACAGTATCTCACTCTCATGCACACACAGTCTCTCTCTCTCAAACACAGTGTCTCTCTCCCACACACAGTCTCTCCCTCTCTCACACACAGTCTCTGTCTCTCACACACTGTCACTCTCTCACACAAACACACAGTGTCTCTCTCTCACACACACAGTCTCTCTCTCTCTCACTCTCTCTCACACACAGTCTCTCTCTCACACACACAGTCTCTCTCTCATACATACAGTCAGTCTCTCTCTTTCTCTCACACACACAGTTTCTGTTTCACTCACACACTGTCACTCTCTCTCTCTCACACACACAGGTACACATCGTCTATGTCTCTCTCACACACATACATGCAGTCTCTCTCTCCCACACTTACACACAGTATCTCACACAGACACACACAGTCTCTCTCTCTCACACAAACAAAGACTCTCTCTCTCACACATTTTCTCTCTCTCTCTCGCACACACAAACCAAGTCTCTCTCACATACACACAGTCTCTCTCACATACACACAGTCTCTCCCTCACTCTCTCTCACACACACACATTCTCTCTCTCACTCTCTCTCACACACACAGTCTCTCTCTCTGTCACACACAGAGTCTGTATCTCTCACACACACTGTCTCTCTCTCACTCTCTCTCACACAAACAGTCTCTCTCTCTGTCACACACAGAGTCTCTATCTCTCACACACAGTCTCTCTCTCACTCTCACAGACACACACACACACAGTTTCTCTCACACAGACGCACACAATCTCTCTCTCACTCTCGCAGACACACACACACACAGTCTCTATCTCTCTCTCACACACACAGTTTCTGTCTCACTGACACACTGTCCCTCTCTCTCTCGCTCGCTCTCACACACACACACAGATACACACAGTCTATCTCTATCTCACACACACAAACAGTCTCTTTCTCACTTCCTCTCACACACACACATTCTCTCTCCCATTCTCTTTCACACACACAGTCTCTCTCTTACACACAAACAGTCTCTCTCACATATACACACACAGTCTCTCTCTCTCTCTCACACACACTGTTTCTGTCTCACTCACACACTGTCCCTCTCTCTCTCTCTCACTCTCTCTCACACACACACATTCTCACTCTCACTCTCTCTCACACTCACAGTCTCTCTCTCACACTCACAGTCTCTCTCTCACACACACACACAGTCTCTCTCTCTCTCACTCTCTTTCACACACACAGTCTCTCTCACACACACAGTCTCTCTCTCACAGACACACACAGTCTCTCTCTCTCACTCTCTTTCACACACACAGTCTCTCTCACACACACACTCTCTCTCTCATACACACACACAGTCTTTCTCTCTCTCACACACAGTTACTGTCTCACTCACACGCTATCCCTCTCTCTTTCTCTCTCGCATTCACACACACACAGATACACACAGTCTATCTCTCTCACACACACATACACAGTCTCTCTCTCTCTCTCACACACACAGTCTCTCTCTCTCACACACCTTCTCTCTCTCACACAAACACAGTGTCTCTCTCTCACACACACAGTCTCTCTCTCTCACACACAAACAATCTCTCTCTCTCTCATACACACACACAGTCTCTCTCTCTCACTCTCTCTCACACACACACATTCTCTTTCTCGTGTACACATACAGTCTCTCTCTCTCTCACACACAGTGTCTCTCTCCCAAACACAGTCTCTCCCTCTCTCACACACAGTCTCTCTCTCTCACACACTGTCACTCTCTGTCTCTTTCTCTCTCGCTCTCACACGCACACAGATACACAGAGTCTATCTCTCTCTCACACACACACACAGACTCTCTCTCACTCTCTCTCTCACACACACATTCTCTCGCTCACTCTCTCACACACACAGTCTCTCTCTCTCTCACACACAAACACAGTCTCTCTCTCACACACTTACACAGTCTCTGTCTCTCACAGGCAGTCTCTCTGTCTCTCACACACACACAGTCTCTCTCTCTCATACACAGAGTCTCTCACTCTCACGCGCACACAGTCTCTCTCTCTCTCAAACACACAGAGTCTCTCTTCCACACACAGTCTCTGTCTCTCACACACTGCCACTCTCTCACACAAACACACAGTGTCTCTCTCTCACACACACAGTCCCTCTCTCTCACACACAAACGGTCTCTCTCTTTCTCACACACACGCAGTCTCTCTCACTCTCACACTCTCTCACACACACAGTGTCTCTCTCCCACACACAGTCTCTCCCTCTCTCACACACAGTCTCTGTCTCTCACACACTGTCACTCTCTCTCTCACACACTCACAGTCTCTCTCTCTCTCACTCTCTCTCACACACAGTCTCTCTCTCACACACACAGTCTCTCTCTCATACATACTCTCAATCTCTCTCTCTCTCTCTCTCACACACACAGTTTCTGTTTCACTCACACACTGTCCCTCTCTCTCTCTCACACACACAGGTACGCATAGTCTATCTCTCTCTCACACACACAGTTTCTGTCTCACTAACACACTGTTCCTCTCTCTCTCGCTCGCTCTCACACACACACAGATACACACAGTCTATCTCTCTCTCACACACACAAACAGTCTCTTTCTCACTCCCTCTCACACACACACATTCTCTCTCCCACTCTCTCTCAC